TCCTGAATGAATTCAATTTTAAGAGACAGAACCTGTAGCCTGCTAAATTATGGTAATTTGCAATTGAAACAAATACTTGCAGGTAAACACGCAAACATATCCATGTTAAATCAGAACGTGTACATCAAACTGAAAAGAATGCCATGACTAAGCTGAAGGACAGAAAGAGCACAAACGTTAAAAAAGGGCAACCGCATGTTATCAGGTAAGCCTTCTTACATACTATGGAAAAACATTTTAAAAATCATTCTTAAAACATGGAGGAAAGCAAACATACTGCTTCTTGACAGGTAATTAACCTGAGAAACAGACTAGAGCAAGATACTGAAGAAAACAGCTAAAACCCCAAGCTTAATTCTTGTCCTCACAAAGACAAAGCCTGCTTCACTGGCAACTAAATGCCCTTAAGGATAGTACTCTGTGTGTGGGAATAACTTCATATGTACGTAAGAACAGAAATTAGCATTAAAAATACATGTGTTATAATAAACTTGCACAGGTAAATATGCACTTCAGACATTCAGATCTTTAGCTAGATTAGGAAGAATTATTTTCTCCTCCTACGGAGTACAGGAAGCCTTATTAGAGCTTGCCTTCCTGTAAAACATCTGGCACTGACTGACACAGGCTACCTGACTAAGTGAACCGTTCGTCTAGTGACACGACAAGAATGTTTCTCTCCATGTCATGAAAAGCTACACTGAAAAATACTACCCTATATGCTTCACATTTCATTCATCTCCGTATTGTATTTTAAATCACTTTAGGGATCATGAGGTGCTCTACTTGGACAGCTTTAGACACTGCAATACTCTTCCCATGGCAAGATTACTCAATGCTGCCACTAAAATACTGTTCCAAAAGGGTGGGGTTTTCAGCCTCCTCACCCATCAGAGCTTGTTGCAGGGAAGTGCAATGGCTCTAGTCACCTCTGGCTATGCCTTGCAGCTGCAGTCACAAGCTCAGAGGAAATACTCTCTTCTTTAAAAAATAGGAAGATGCTGAAAAAGATCTGGGAAATTTCCTGCTAGGAAGGAACACGGATAACCAGTGAAGCCTCCAAGACTTAAAGCTCAAAAGCTAATGGAATGGCTGGTCCCTGAAAGCTCAAGAGAGCTTTTTCACAAAATGTAAGAATCAGCTGGAGGTTATCACTACTCTTAATAAAATGTATGCCCATAAACAGAGAGGTTCGTATTTCTGCTGCAGCAATCCAACGGCTGGGAGAGGTGTGTCTAGGCAGTATTTACAAAAGCACCCTAGAGAAGAAAGTAGACTGGAACATCATCGTCCTCTCACGGATGCCATCAAATTGCCACCAAAGGCACAGTACTTTTGGCCACTGCAGAGAGATTGTCAATATGAGTTACTGGCAAAAATTACACCCAGTAAAAATATATTAGTAATTGATCCTTTCAATTATTATCAGAGAAGCAAACACTTGCCTGATTTTTTTTTAAGTCAGAAAAAGTGGCCCAAACCTGTTAAGACAATAGGATCCATTTATATGAAAACAATTTGGATCAAAGCCAGAAGACTCTCAGAAGATAAAAGATGTACAGATAATGGCAAAAAGAAAAAAATTATTTGTTAATTATTTGCTGTCTGGAACAGACAGGGGAAAAGTAAAGTCACCTCACAGAAGTTCACTTTTATCTACATGGCTTCCAACGCAAGAAAAACAACACACAGAAGCCCAGAACAGCGCACTTTAGAAACTCCGAGTAATAAGCAAATCCCAACAACTTCATCAGATGAAACGATACAGAACCCAGAACCAGCAAACATACAGTCTTCACTTTGTTCTTAGTTTTCTGTGTGCTTGTTCACTGTTGCACTTAATTTTAGAGGGGTGTTACATACCCCCCCCCCCCTTTTAAAAATCATCAGCATAATCAAATCATGGAAGCTCATCTAGAACATACTCTATTGATACAAAACTAGCTGTTGATATTCTAATACCAATTTAATACTTAAAGTGACTTAGTAAATGCCAAGTCAAAGCTCAGAACTTTTAAGTGCAGCTTAAGACTACTTTGAGAATATATGTTATTGTAATAAGCAAAAGCGTTTTTGCTATACAGAAATAAAGAGATTTAAATTGCAAATATTTATTATTTCTATTACTAAAACCAGAAAAACATGGGATTGGTGTTGCCACATAAAAAATATTTAAAATCATAATTTAAGTGTTTTTATTACATTTTGGACTACAATTTGTAAATAAGAGCACAGCAGATATAAATAACTGATCATCAACTTAAAAGCACAAAGGTTACTTCTGCTAGAACAGGGGGCATAGCTTCCTTTCCCCTCCAAAGCCCATGCCTCTGCACACACCCAATTAGTCTGAAGTTTCCCTGTAACTATACAAGGAAACAGACGAGAACACACCTTCACCAGCGTAAGTCTGTGACCAGATCAGCTGCTCAGTTTAGAAGTACTACTAAAGTAAGGATTCAGATAAAACTCCAAGAACATTTGTGGCTGAGGAGACAAATGCTGTTATGACTGGGCTGAAGTCAGTTGAATAACTTTTAATTTCAAAGCTACCTTAAGAAAGTTTTATTTGGTCTTGACTCCTCCATCTTATACATTGAAACTATCATACATTGAAACTGCTCTTCAGTCTTGCAAACAAGAGGCCCAAATTCACCATTGAGCTTAAAAGACTTCCAGAGAGCCAGGCAATGTACAAGGGATATGCATTTCCAAGCCAAGAACTTCTTACCTCTGCTCACAGATGAAGCTGACCCATTGAACAGTCCTTTAGATTTACATCATAATTGGTATTTCAAGCAAGAAGTATGAAACAAAAGCGAACTGCTACCTCATCATAAAGCAGTTCAGATGTGAGTAGAATGAAACTTACAAGTTAGATTTGAAAAACAGTGTCTTAGTTATAAGCTGTATACCTATTATCAGCCGGGAGAAAGTATCTCAGTTTGAGGCTTTTTAACATTTACTTTTTGCACCACAACTGCAATTAAAGTGCACCTTTCTGCAATTAAAGAATTGCCTAATAAGAATCTGAAGATTTCCCCACGAAGCTTGCTCTTCAAAAGCTGTTTAGTGGATTTCAAAAAGCTAAAAACCAAAACAACCACCACAGAAAACAACCAAGCAAATAAAAAACCCTCAAATACTTCTGGGACCTCTGAAAATAGAGATGGAAATGCATTCCCTGCATTCATGGACGTGGCATCACATGCATTCTGATAAGAAAGGGTATTTCACAGTCCTGCTTTGAAATGTAACCCCTTCCTTTATGTAGAAAAATCTTTGCGTGAATTTTGCCTCATTCCATCTTATGAGCCCAATTCTCCCAAATACGCTTCCACTCATTAATGGGCTACACCAAGGACAAACTTGGTCCTGCATGAACGGTCAAAGAAGTACAAAAATTAAAACCTGAAATATAGTACTTTCCAAATGACAACTTCTAAGGAAGACAAAGTTTTTATTAATCTAGCCTAGCATTTCAATATTTATCCCATCATAAATAAAACCCATGGCACATAAGTAACTGATGCTGATCTTGCTGCAGCTTCTCACGTTGAAAGGTACTTAGATCTATGAAATCACACAGAATGTGGTGTTTTATTTTAAGCATCAAAATTCAACAGATCATGTTATTGTGCCAACAAAAGAAAAACAGAAGATCTGGTTTAAGCAAGCTTGTGAAAATATTTTCTCTCAAGTATTACTGTTTTCTTAACTTTAAATCCGTAACTCTACAAAGGAGTATTTTAAATTTAAGTACCTTTTGAAAAATAGAGGAGAACAAATCTCACAGTGAGAATATGAAGATTAAAATTCAGGAAAAGGTAAAAAATAAATTTTCACATAACTTTCATCAGCTGAAAGAGTACTGACACAATGTTGAAAGATCTTTATCAGAGAACAGCATGTTACCAGAACATGCCATGATGTCATATGTGATATTTTATGTTTAAATTTAATGTATTAATTCAAACTGTTGTTTACTGCAGTGATTCCTTTGCGTCAAAAGCAAACCAGGCCATAAACAGGTTCACACTCTGACACTGTTTGCTTATTCACTTGCATGTTCTTTACCACACCACAAATTCATATCAAAACACACAAAACATCAAGGGAGAGTAATCCGTTATGCCCAACATCCTAGCACAAGCACTCTGACTTGAACTTAACAAGCAATTGACATATCACCATTAAGGCTTGTTTTCAACAACAGTAACCCACAGTATGTGTGTATTTACATCAAATGTATCATAAAACCATATCCACTGACACTGAAAATAACTAGGAAATATACGCATGACACAGAAAGTATAAACCAGCTGTACAGCAGGTATTATGGTTGGGTTGTAACAGTAACACAGTTAGTTCATCGCTTAATCAGAATGACTTGTTTCAGAAATGATTAGTTCATAAAATGATAGTTTTCTTTCTTAACATAATTTTCTTCTCATAACAAAGTTTAGTATGAGGTAGAAATACACTTTTTCTCATGCATTCATAGTCAGACAGGCCTCGATGTTCATGTTTACATGCAAAGGAAACAGAATTCAGTAAAGCTGTAATATTCAAAATAAAAGCTGTAATGGAAACTTATTATTTCCCAACCTTCACCAAAACAATCGGCTTGCAAAATGCTTGCAAGCTGATATTCAAAGTTATTTAGATACTAAAATGAAGAGGTTGCATTATGTTAAACTGTTTTAGTATCTGTACATCTTTTCTTGAAATGCGTTACAGCAACCTCAGACCTCCCTGAAGTCAATCCATGAAACATTTAACATAGAAAAAAAAAAACAAGGACCAAGGAAATGAAAAAAAAAAGGCAAAACAAAACAACAAAACAAAAACCCCAGAACCTAAACCCAAGGAAATTAAAAAAAAAAAAAAAATAAAGAAATGTATTAAATCATTTAGCTATTTTTATGTTTTTAATGCTTACCACAAGAATAAAAAAAAAAAGGGAAGGCATCACAAACACTAGGTTAAAATATACCCACCCCTAGCTGAAAGCTTTTTGGTGTTGATAATTTTGGCCGCATACTCTTGTCCTGTGGTGATTTTCATACATCTTCTGACGACAGAGAACGCCCCTCTGGAAACCAAGAAGCGGACAAAGTGTCAATCCAACTGAAACACTTCACTGCCATTACCGGCGCGAGGGTTTTAACGGGTTTCAGCGAGAGGTGTGATGTCGGCAGGATTTAAAAAAAAAAAAAAAAAAAAAAAAAAAAAAGGATTTTCAGAGAGTGCCGGTCAGTATTGATTTTATTCCCCAAAACAGTCAACTCTGGTCAGAAACGCGTGTACACGCCGTATGACCGAACCGATCCCCGACTGTAACGGGCGGAGGGAGGGCACGTTTTCACTACCCCGAGGCCGGCACATACCCCGCGGCCCCGTCCCCGTCCGTCCGTCTCCCCCCCGCCCGGTGACACCGGCGCCCCGCCGCCCGCCCGCCCGCCCCCGCCGGGCCG